CTATGAAAAATGCAGCGTAATAATTGTTTTTCTGAAGTTAACAATGATGGGACTACCTGGACTTGAACATGAGACCTTGTCCTTGAAGTAAATTATTGCACCTACGGTCCAACCAATTGGAGGAGAATCAATAAAATCCTTTTCGGAACACCAAAACTGCGTGTTTTGGAAGAAAACATAAGTAGTGTAAATATCAAGTGCTGTTATATTATAGTTAGGATATCGTAACCATTCATTCTACATCCATCTTATACAAGGAAATAAATGTCGACAATGAGATCCTTACCACAGATATTCCAAATACAATAGAGATTCCAACAATATTTGTTAAGAGCATCCAAAGATCACTCAAAAATTACAGAGCTTACACCGACTTCTTGGTTTTTGGTGGGGGAAGATAACCGGTGTTTCGACCATTCTTCCAAGGCTTTACGATGAAGAGCGTTCATACGAATATAAGGCCTTTTTTCTCGGATTAACTTTTCAGCATTTTTCCAATCTTCTGCCAAGCCAAGAGCTACCAGCAGTGCACACATCACTGCAACACTTCTGCCATGACCTAAGAATGTTTCAAAGCAATGATTAGGAACAACTGAATTATAATGTTTTATTCCAGCAGACATGGGCAAATAGAATCAAGAAAATGTTTAATATTCAGATGCAGAGCAGTTTGTGCAAAATTATAGAGCAATTCGGTAACAGTGTACAAGTGAGAAGTACCAATTTAGTTCGTGGATGAAGCCATAGTAAGCTTTGTTTGATACGAAGATGGGGAGGAAAGAAAAGAATGGGACAGGGTTGGGGGTTCTAAATAGCAAAGCGAATGGCATCTTACTTCCTCTGAATTGTTTTGGAGGGAATAGACGGGGTAGGATGAAGTAGAAACAATATGTACCTATCCAGATTAAACCAGCCAGGTTTTAAGGTAGGCTGTATTGAGACTCCCATGGAACGGCGTGAGTGCAGGTCCACAAGCCCACTTTTCCCTTTTTTTCATAAACTAACATGCCCGCCTGGACTTGGAGTAGCAAGGCTTGGCTGTGAGGACTGGATGATACATTTGGACACCCTATTCCTAGGTCCTTTTTACCCTCAATAACATTGATTTTAGTTTGTATAAATTTTGGGCTTTAGACATTTAGCCTTTGACCACTGAACCCTTCATCCAAAGCCTCCAGAATTCGGTCAGGAAAGGATTAAGTCAACTTGTTAATTGTCTTGTGGCGGCTTCCTCTCTTCTACCTTTCCCCTCCTAAATCCTACTACTAAACCACATTAGCAAATTTAACTCTTATAACGCAAGAAGGATTGACTTGTGTAATATATCAATTCTCTTAAAACCAAAAAGCATGGAAATGCCATACCTAAGTCATAAATGTTAGAGCATTTAGAAGCAATTCAATTAAAAATTTTGAATTTCTGCAGTGAACGAAGCAAATGGCTAAGCTAAATACGTCAATCGCAACAGCTAATGGAGCAAAATGGGTAAATGCAGCTTATTATATTAAGCATCTCTTATTGTTTATTCTAATAAACTAAAAATTTTGAATTTGAAGAAATCTGTCATTGAATCAATTCATAAAGAAGTGTTAGTGTTAGTGTTAGTGTTAACCCTTGAGCATAATCAATATACACTACGGGAAACAAAGGTAAATATTTATGCCCTCTGGCAGGGTTTTTGAATGGGACACAACACAATGTATAAACCTACTTTAAACATAATAAGGATTTGAAAATATCGTATCAACACTTGGATTTTAGTTCATCCTTAATTCATTCACATGATTATAACTAAAAGCATTTAAAAATTATATTCAAGAGGAAACAAATATTATTGTCTGGGTAAGATTTTGAAGTTAGATTGAAACAGCATCCCTCCCCCGGACGAAGATGACGATGACAACAATAAACTAAGACATATTCTCAACAAGGATTCAGTGATATCATGAAAGAAGTAATTCAAAACAACCATCATTACCCCTTCACAACAGCAAAGTAACAAAGTTCAAAACAAACAAAATTCAAAAGCCCTCTGGAGTACTATAACAATTATGTTTAAGTGATTTATGGAACATGGATTCTATCATTGACTGTAAACATATGAGATCTTAACTCAACTTTCCAACACAACAGTGGAGCATAGAGAAGAGAGGAGATGAGAACAAATTGCTACCTAAGTGCATGTTCGATAAGTGATTATATAATAAGTGGGTAGTAATAGTAGGTAATGTGGAGGTAAAAATTTTGTTTGACCAGAAGCAATTAAAATATAATCACTTCCCAAATATGCATTAGGTAGACACAAATGCCATTAATGAAATGAAATTGCCGTCCCATGGATAAGAAAGAGGATAATGATATCCAACGCAGAAAAAAATTGTTGCTTCGGTCTATACTTTGGCTCAAGAGGGGGCATTTAATGTTTCACCAGGGAATGACATTTTTCTTGCAACTGCTTGCTCTAGAAGACAACTGAAGAAAATGTTGCTCCGGATGATCACACTACTGGCATATGGAAAATTATTAGAAAATTAACCCCTTGAGTGAGGAGTCCCAATTGTAGGAGAATTATATTTACAATTTCATTCCATCTTATAAAATTTACATTTTAGCAAATGTCCAAATTTCACGACCTTTTGGTAAAGAAATACACAGGATTGACGCTAGCGAATGATAGAGTATATATCATGAATTCCGTGACGTGAAATTAACCACAATACAGCTGAAACTTGCACAAACACCTCTATTATTTAAGGCTATACTATATTTGGACCATTAACTAAACAAGAACAATCATCATAAGATTATGGAGTTCACATCATACCATATGCACAGTGGACGAATACCGGGATCTTCTGAGCTCTCTTTCTACAAGCCCACTTCACGGCAGACTCAATCTCGGCCGGCCGAGGTGATCGCGTGTCCCATGTAGGAATGCACAAATAAGCATGTCCCGAAAGCTCCATTTTCCTGGGCAACTCACAAGTGCAGTCGATAATGGCAGGGTTACCAGGTGGCAATTTGTCCGGTGAATAAGGCCACCCTCCAACATATAATCCTTCAGAAATCTCACTATAAGGAGCTTCCCCACTTCTCAACCTTCTCAAAGCAGAAAATAGTCTCACAAAGTATAGATATGGACTGAACATAATCAGTGACCAAATGGGAAATCTCCCATCCGTGCCTTTCCCCAATAGTATTGGCAGATTAATGGATGGATGTGCAGCGATTGAAACCAAGAAAGACACCAAAGATGCATACAAAACTGGAATTGCTAGCAACATGAAACCAAGATTTCTAAGAAACGTAAAAACCATAAATAAAGTCGCTGCCTTTAAGCCTATAAGCACAGATAAACCCACCCCCATCTTTATTCAACAAACAAACAATATTAAAGGTCAAGATCAAGAAATTCCGCACAGTTAATCAGTCCTGTAGTTTTGGAAAGTTAGCGAAAATATAGTCAATAAGAAGAAGGGAATTTTTATATCGATAATCGCCTATGAGGATTCAGGACTGCAGATTTGGTCCGGATTTCATGAGGGAGAATAAAATTAAGGTCCTCACTACCAGTTGATTTTGGAGAATGGAAGCATAAGGTAGTTTTACTTTTCTGACGCCCAAAATAATTTAGCCCTCGTTTGGCCCGAGAAATGCTGTCCGTCATTTGGCGCCCCCCGGGCTTGGACAGGCCCTGTCCGAGTATGCTTTTCCTAAATTAGATTTTATTTTTTATTTTTAATTACACANGAATTGTTACTTAACTTTGTCAAATTCATGCAATGTAGGAAATTCTATGAAAATAGTGGAATTCAGGAGAAAAGAACCGAAAAAGGACCAAATTGGAGCAAAATGAAAATTCATGGACCAAAATGCAATTATCTGAAAGTTGACCCGATGAACACATCAAGCAATTGATCAAGCCAAGCACCAATTGGAAGTTATAAGGAAACATTGGAGCAACTAGGAACAAGAGAGGAGGTCAATGAGTGAAAGAATGAAATTTGAGGACCAAAATGACTCAAACTAGAAGTTAGCTCTGCTATGCGATCGCATAGTATAAAACCTATGCGGTCGCGAGTGAACCTCCAGGGATTAAAAACGCCATTTTTCTTATGCCTATGCGGTCGCATATGTATAATTTTTCCCCGATTTTTGCAGTTTCCTTATATGATTGCAACTTCTTTGGTAACCTAATTTGGACGGGTTTAAATAGCAACAAAACATCCAGAAGTCGCACGAACGACTTGGGAGGCAAAAACATTCATCTTGAAGTGGATTTGAAGGCAAGAACAAGAATTGATGCGAGATTTACAAGATTTCTTCAAGTTATGATAACCCGGTGATGTATTTTATTTATACTTTGTTAGATTTCGTTATTTTTATCATGATAGGCTAGATTTTTGCAACTAGGTGATCGATGAACCATGTAATTATTATTAAACTTGCTATTTCATGATTTTGAATTATTAGTTCGATGGGATATTTGAATGGATTATATTGGTTTATTTATTTCCACAATTAATGTGCACTTAATTTGTGTGAACTTGGTGGTTTAATTCTGAATTTGAGAAAATTAGATTAAACTCGACATATATAATTCATCATAGGGTCCGATAGGGGATAGAAATATACCCCTATGCCCTATGTAAATCTTTAATTGCTCACAAAAAGATTATATGCGTTCTTGTATAATTGCATCCGTCATAGAGATATAGGCTGATGATTTATGATAATAGGTTCAATACATCTCGAGAAAGAGTATTGAATAGATTTAGGAGCATTGATTTGTCAAATCCTTATTGAATTATCAAAATTGTGAAATTAGGGTTTAATTAGTAATTATTTGGGGATTCGTGATCCTAGTGCATTCGTTTTACATAGATTTTCATAAATTGACAATACATTTCATTTATTTTTCATAACATTTCGTAATTGAGTCATTCAGTAAGTGAATTTAAGTAATTAGGGTTTGATTTGAATTTAGGGTTTTTCAATTTGGAGATTTTCCCCAAATTAGGGTTTGATTTGAAATTAGGGTTTTTCAATTTGGGGATTTCCCCCAAAATTAGGGTTTTTGATTCCAAAATTCATTTTAATTCAATTAGTTTCGGTTTAAGGCTAAAATAAATAAAATTGAACTACTCTTTCTCTGTGGGACGATACTCGGACTTCTAAAAGTCCACTTTATTACTTGTCACGACCCGTACACTTGCGGTAATTTAAATCGAAAGAAATATTTCGCGAACAAATTTTTGCCACCGTTGCCGGGGAATTGAGTTTAGTTTAATTTTATTTCTTGAGGCACTAATTCGAATGTAATTTTTATTTAGCATAATTTTGTTTTTATTTTTTATTTTTATTATTCTCTATTTGTATTTTAATTAATTAAATTGTTTGAATCTAAGTGCTCGTACTAGTTTTAATTCTCAGATTTGCATGTCACGATTGCCTGGAGGAGAATTGATTCCAGCTGATCCTGAAATTGAGCGCACCTTTCACCGACGGCAAAGAAATCACCGCGAAACACAAGTACAAATGGCCAACGAATTAAACAATCTCATGATTCATGCTAACGAAGGAGAGGCAATGGACGAAGGGAATGAGATTCTGGGGGATTTCTTGACTCCTCAAGTGATTCAAAGCCAGTCCAGCATAGTGTATCCACCGTTTGGGCAACCTAATTTTCAGTTGAAGACCAATGTAATACAGCTGTTTCAAAATGGACACCAATTCTATGGCAAGGCTGAGGAGAACCCACACACACACGTATCTCGATTTCTGGATATGTGTCAACATTTCAGATACCAAGGGATTTCGGATGACGCCATTAGGTTGAGGCTTTTTCCACATACGCTACGAGACAGAGCACTTGAATGGTTGGATTCCCTCCCGGTTGCAAGTATCACTACATGGAATGAGCTGGCACACAAGTTCTGCACAAAGTTCTTCTCCCCAGCCAAGATAGCAAAGCTGAGACATGATATATTAGTATTCAATCAAGGAGAAACTGAATCATTTGATGAAGCCTGGAACAGATTTATAAACATGCTCCGGAAATGCCCTCAGCATGGGTTCGATAAAAAGACCCAGATTCGATTCTTCTACACAGGATTACTTCCATACCGTAAGAGCATGGTAGATTCAGCATCAGATGGCTCAATATCCACAAGAACAGTTGATGGGGCATTGGAATTATATGAGCGAATGGCTACCACATCAGCCATGTGGTCGTCTGAGAGGGCAACTCCAAAGAAAACTCCAGGTGTCTACGAGGTGGACGCTTATTCAGCAATCTCTGCAAAAATTGATTCTCTGTATCACAAGGTGGAGAGCATATCACAAGCACCACAAGCTAAGAAGAGCAATTGTGAGGAATGTGGAGCCGAACACAAAACATCAGATTGCCCTATACTCATGCAAGAAATTGAGCAAGCAGACTACGCACAGTGGGGACAACGCCAGCAGCATAATCAATATGGTGAGACTTTCAATCCCAGCGGGAAGAAACATCCCAACTTCTCGTGGAGCAACCAGAATTAGAATAAACCACAAGGGCAATTTTAACAACAGGAGAAGAGGCCTCAATTGGAAGATATGATAGGAAAGTTCATGGAGAAGGCTGAAGCTACACTTCAAAATCAAAATGCAGCCATCAAAAATTTGGAAACTCAGATGGGGCAGCTAGCCATCGCATTGACTGGCAGAACACCAGGTAACTTACCAAGTAATACAGAAATCAATCCTAAAGAGCAAGCAAAGGCCATTACAACTCGAAGTGGAGTTCAATTACCTGAAATCCATGTCAAGAGACCGGGAGTGATTAGAGAAACATCTTCCTCCGCTGAAGAGGAGACTGTTGTAAAGGAATCAAGTTCAAAGAAAAATTCAGAAGAATCACAAGATAAGGCCAAAGTCACAGTCAACCCCTACGAACCTCCGATTCCCTTTCCACAGCGCTTGAAGAAGCAAAAAGTGGAGCAACAATACAAAAAATTTCTAGAAATCTTCAAAAAGCTCCATATCAACATCCCGCTAGCAGATGCACTATTCCAGATGCCTAGCTACGCGAAGTTTCTGAAGGATATCATATCAAATAAACGCAAGATGGAAAATCATGAGACAGTCATGCTTACTGAGGAATGTAGTGCTAGAATTCAGAATAATCTTCCACCGAAACTAAAAGATCTAGGGAGTTTTACTGTTCCTTGCACAATCGGTGAAGTATATTTCGATAAAGCATTATGTGATCTCGGTGTAAGTATTAATTTAATGCCTTTGTCCGTTTTCAGGAAACTAGGATTGGGAGAAGCTAAAGCAACCACTGTGACACTTCAGCTGGCTAACAGGTCACTGACACATCCCAGAGGAATAATTGAAGATGTACTTATCAAGGTTGAGAAGTTCATATTTCCAGCAGACTTTTTTATCCTGGACATGGAAGAGGACAAGGACGTTCCATTGATACTTGGCAGACCATTTCTGGCAACAGGGAGAGCATTAATTGATGTTCAAAGAGGTCGGTTGATTTTATGATTGGGAGAAGAGCAGATATCATTCAATGTATTCAAGGCAATGAAGTTACCAGCAGAATCTGACAGCTGTTATCAAGTTGACATTATTGACAAGGCAGTACAAGAAACATTTTTACTACACGGTCCATCTGATGCCTATGAGGCATGTATTGCACAATCCCAATCAATCCAGTCAAAGTCTGTTGAAGTTGAAACATGTGCAAGATTTTTGGAGACCAACCCGCCATACACACGAAAGAGGCACTTCGAGGAACTGGGGACGGGAAACACAAAGCCACTACCTTCAGTTCAGCAGCCACCAGTTTTAGAACTCAAACAACTGCCGCCACATCTCAGATATGCTTATTTAGGAGAATCAGATACATTTCCAGTAATCATTTCAAACACAGTCAGTGAGATGGAGGAGAAAAAACTGCTCAGGGTACTTAGAGAGAACAAGACGGCGATTGGTTGGACAATAGCTGACATTAAAGGAATCAGTCCTTCCATGTGCATGCATAAAATTTTAATGGAGGAAAACTGCAAGCCTAGCATAGAAAGTCAGAGAAGATTGAACCCAAACATGAAGGAAGTAGTCAGGGCAGAGATACTGAAGTTATTGGATGCAGGAATTATCTACCCAATTTCAGATAGTGCGTGGATCAGCCCTGTTCAAGTGGTACCGAAAAAAGGGGGAATCACAGTGGTGAAAAATGAGAAGAATGAACTAATTCCCACCAGAACAGTTACGGGTTGGAGAGTTTGCATTGACTATCGCAAACTCAATGCAGCTACACGAAATGATATCTTCCTACTCCCATTCATTGATCAGATGTTGGAAAGGTAGGTTGGACATTCACACTACTGCTTTCTTGATGGATACTCGGGCTATAATCAGATACCTGTCGCACTAGAGGATCAGGAGAAGACCACTTTCACTTGTCCCTACAGTACTTTTGCTTATCGTAGGATGCCTTTTGTTTTTGCAACGCTCCAACCACATTTCAGAGGTACATGATGGCAATATTCTCTGACATGATTGAAAGGTTTATCGAGATTTTCATGGACTACTTCTCAGTATTTGGATCTTCATTTGATGAATGTTTAAACCACTTGAAT